CAATTATACTTACATACGTTAGGAATTAAATTAAAGTATCGTTAAATTAATTAAATAATGATCAACGAGTGTTTCTATTAAAAAATACTTCCGGTTGAAAGGTTAACGTTTACACTGAGATTAAATCGTACTTCTGTGTGAATATTTTCTTACGATTTATGGTTTATGCGTTAGGAAAGTCCTGTGTTTTTGGTGTGCCCGATGAGAAAGACGACGTACACGTGTGTCTGATAAAGCGGACATCGCCGAAATCGTCGTCCTGATTACGTAAAGCACAGTCTTGGACATAGTCCCAGTAAAATGGCCACTGTTTTCATTCACTCGGCCGTTGTCTCGATAACCGCTATATTCGTATACCCTGCTTAATCCTGTCGCGAATTTTGGCGCCTTAGTATGGAGAAATATTGCCAGATCAACACTGAGTAATAGCATAAATCAAGAAGAGTGGTTTAACGTTGTTGAAATTAATGTATCAATTCATTTGAAAATGTATTTTCTGTGGATTATGCTACGTGGAAATTATATTAAAATTATACTTAAAAAGTTAGACAAATTACTGTATTAAAAAAAACATGTTACATTACACTGAGAAATTTTTTGATGCTTTAAGAAGATAATAATGAACGAAACAAATCCAACGAATACGGAAAAGGGAAACAGTGGACTCTTTGTCGAATATTTGATACGCAGGATGTGTTAAAAATACTTGAATATTGGAAAAGTCGAAGCCAAAATGACCATCACAGCTAGCTTCCCAATGTGTCAGTGAAAATTAAGGATAGAACTCTCTAAATGAAATTAAAAACTGAAGCGAAATGAGTCAGAGTTAAAATGATATTTCTCATTGAATTCGAGCCATAATCTACGCAATTAATACTCGAGAGCATCTCAACAAACAGAAATATTATTTGTTATTACTACTTGACTAATCTTTCGATTGTTTTGATCACTTCATTTTCGTAACCGAGTGTCACGAGAGATTATCGACGGATGAACTCGATTTTGACGAGATCATTTCCTAACGGAACGACCTTCGTCTGCCGTGCGCGACCATGCTCGTCGAACGCATGATTAATAAAATGATTCTCGTATCTACCTTCGATCTATTCCAACGAGATACTCAAACTCGATAACGGAACAAGATAAATCTCCCAATTTGGGGACTTTACCCGTGAGATTGTACGATAATTATGTTACAAGCTGGATCTGCACAACATAGTCATAATTACGACGATATTTTTAATCATCTAGTAGCGAGATCATAATTTCTTACTTTCATAACGAGTGGTAAATGAATAAAAATGGTCGAAAAAGGTATAAATTAATTCTATTTTTCAAATGTAATTTAATGAAATACAATATTCACGAAGGAATCACAGAGATTTTAGTTAAAAATTTCTTTTCTAATCGACTTATTTTCCAAAAAAAGAAAGCTGACCAAAAAAGCAACGTGAAATTAAGAAAACGTGTTTGCAAAGAAGAAAGAAATTTTTTGAAACACAATTTATTACGTGAATTATCGATATTTCATTTCCATGGCTACGATAGCATCGACCGTTTAATCGATTTACGGTTTATGGCTTTTGTCTCGCGATTTTCGTGAAATAATCATTAGATTAACCGTAAGTCACAAGATATCGTGTTATTTGCGCACTAGTTAGGCAAACAGCTTCCTGTTTCGTTTCTAAGAAAGATTGCTACCGTTGAGTTCTATGTTATTAAACATATCAAAGTTGCGATTTATTTTAGTAAAGATGAGTTGAATTAATCAGTGGAAAATATTGATGTTCGTGTTGTATTATTGGTAGATAGAATTGAGTTCAATTTGAGAAAGGTCTGATTTACGGATTAGATTAGGAATTGGTTAGATCTGGTTTAACCTGGAAAAAGTTAGAATTTGTTGTCGATGCAGGGCTGAGTTGTGACGAGTGTAAATTAAGGTCCGGTCTATATAGAGTTGATTCTTTTGAGTCAAGTTGAATTTCAGTTAAGTCCAAGTTCAAAGTTACTTCAGTTGAGTTTAAAATGTAATTATCATGATTATTTGTAAACTGAGATTAAGTTAAGTCAAGTCTGACTTAAGCTTCACTCTTCAGTTACTTCAATTGAGTTTAATTCAATCTGTCTCGTGTGAAATTAAAATTGAATTAGCTCCAAGGTAACTCGTGCACTATACATTGCCTAACTTAAGTTCCAATTAAATTTTTCTATTTCAAATCTCAGTTAATCCAGAATTACTAATTAATTAACTTAATTTCATCTCCATCAACCTCATTCCCACTTAATCCTCTTTTCAACTCAATTAATCTATACTAATCACTATAAAAAATAGTCTATATTCCTCCTCTACGATAAAACTTTCTAGATCCTTCATTTGGAAAAAAACTCGAAAGTTCACGTTGTTATTCGATCTTCTCTTCTGATAAGCCTGTTTACGTCTAACAAATGAATCAAAATGATGGAATGAGATCACTATTTCTGACTAATCCTTGAGAAAATCCCTCAACTTCATAACACTCATGTCTGGGTTAAATGTACATTTCATCGAATGTACAGGGTGGTTTAAAAAAAAAACATTAACACTTGTATGTAAAATTTTCTTTTCAAACGATTGAAAAAACAAGGAGACTGTCTTTGGAACAAACGGAATAAGAAAAAAAAGATTCTCCAACCAAGTTACTTTCATACAACTGGTAACATTTCTTTTAAACGCCCTGTATTTCGTTAAATTTGAGTATATCTTCAGGATCAAATACTTCTTTGTTTATCAATATTTCTTACGACAAAATTAAACATACTGTAATTGCAACGATGAATTGCACAAAATCTCGAAAGAATGTTATCGGTAACACATGCGTCCAGAAAAACATGTCTACGGGCTTTTTACCGGGCCACGCCATGACGGAAGAGATTCCTCGATAATACTACCATAAATAAGTCTTATGAGAGAGAAAGAGAGAGATAGGAGTGAAGATAGTACTGATCGACGTTAATATTTTGGTAAAAGTGCATATTTAGAGCAGGCTATTAACAGGTCGTAATTATTTTATGAGGAATTGAGCTGGAAGTGGCAGGAAGAGACCATCAAACCATCTTGAGGCCACTTCGACACGCGATAAATTCATCAATAATTAAACGAGCACCAACCATGATGTATGATATTCCTCTAAGTGGTGTCAAATCAATATTCTCTTTGCAGAAAGTTAGAAAAAGTATTAAGTGACTTGATGTAATATTAATTAATTGTTATTACTGATATTCTGTTCATTTTATGAAATTCATGCATTCCTATTTATCAGCAAGAATCTTCATAAAAGGATACAGATAAATGCAGATAAAATTCCAAGCACGATATACCGCGACAAACATACTCCATCCTTGACTTTAATATTATTAATAGAGAAAAGAAGATATCGGTGTGTGACTAAAACTAGATTTAACTCATTGTTTTCAAACTTGGATTTGTCAAAAATAAAATTTTCCGAATTACCAATTCTTCTCTTCCACTTTTATTAAAATAACCCTTTCACTTCAACATTAGTAATTAATTTTCTCTAAAAATGACTCACAGCTAGCAACCAATCCCCCAAAGTTAAAAACAAAATTCCCCAAATTTTTCTTTTCCACTTTTATTCAAATAATTCCTACACTTTAACACGAATAACTAATTTTCTCTAGAAATGACTTATTCTCGTCAAACAATCCCCAAAAATGAAAAACAAAATTCCCCAAATCTTTATTCCACATTTATTAAAATAATTCCTTCATTTCAATACTAATAACTAATTTTCTCTAGAAATGACTCACTGTCGTCAAACAATCCCCAAAAATTGAAAGCAAAATTCCCCAAATTTTTATTCCATATTTATTAAAATAAATCCTCCATTTCAATATTAACAAATAATTTCCTCTAGAAACGACTCGCTACCATCAATCAATCCCTCAAAACCGACCAAATCTCAATTTCCAACCTGAAAACGAATCAAATTCTGCGAGAAATGAGACATTTTAATAAAGGATGCAGAAAAACGCAGTTAGAAATCCCAAGCATGATATACTGCGACAAACACGTTACCTCACGGACCTAACCGAATCCCTGGCAAACACTCTGTTTAGTCATTGCGAGCCTGTTATTTGGACAGCGTGCATACAGACCCTGAAGACGATACTCGTCGACGTTCACACAATCATAAATAACAATATCACACTGGAGGAACGGGCAAGAAGCATGCTCTTTCGTCGAAATCTCTCGAAAATACGAAATCTAATAACGTTTGGCCCAGAAATGGCGGTCGAGTTACCGGCGATGAAACGCATACGAAAATTTTTTAGTAGGTCGGTAAACAATATGAAATCGGATCCATGCAACATAGATAAACGCATCCGCGATATCGGAACTCTCATGCATAATAAACGGCCGCATGAGTAAACCGCGTATTTTAATCAAAGTAATCTAAAGCAATTAGAAATCCCGTGATACCTGTTTCAACTGTCTTATCGAGTAGAGTGCGTGCGATCGTATCGTGACAGGGGCAATTGCAAAACCCTCTTAAACATGTATACGCATATACACTTCTACTACACTCACGTATACCGACATACATACGTAATTATTATTACAAATGTACACACATTTATACGTGTAGAAAACACGAAGAAAACGTTTTAGCAGTTCTTTTTTTACAGAAGCGACTGTTTCCAACGAAAAAGCTGTACCGCTAAAGAGTATTAGTAGGAAGAGAGAGAAAAGAGAAAGAGAGGGTGAGAGCAGGTAAACGAAGAAAGAAAGCGTTCTGTATCTTATCAGAGAGCTGCTAATAAGCAGCCACCGAAAACAGTGGAGATATATGTGGAGGCACGATCGATTTTTTGGTCAGTCGTTCGTTCGCCACGGAAGATCGTGTTTTGATCTTGGTGAACACAGAAGATTTTTATACACAGTGATCATTTTTTTTTTTTTATCGTTTCTCGATTGCAGAGATTGCAGTCCGAGTACTACTTACGAGAAGAACTTTTTTTATTCGATCGAATTGAAATCGCTCGAGGATCATTGAGAAGGGGGAAAAAGTTGGAGTAAAGAAAGAGAAAAAATAGGGAACTGTTTTTAGAGAGAAGGAAGGTTCCCTTAAGTCTCGGTGGATATATCATCGTCGAATTCGCTCGTGCGATAAAGGCGGCGATCAAATACCACCGAGTATTCACCAATGAGCGTAGCGTGCAGTGGTTGCACACGAGGACAAAACCGTGGAACGCGCACGAGGAACAGACAGTGCAACGCTTTGGCGACCGAGGTCCTCCAGAATCCCGGATTCTCTCCAACACCACCTGACCTGATCACCTCGCGCGAGACCGTACACCTTCGCAACGTAACCGTTCACCATGGGTAGGTTCGATGATCTTTCACGACGATGACAATGGTGATGATGATGATGGAAAACTGAGGATGGTTCGAGGATTCATTTTTATCTGTTAATCGTCCCTTGTACTTAATATCAGATTCCCTCTTTTTTTTTATTTTTCAATTTTAATTTTACGTGCAATCTTTTGGTTAACTTCTTAATTTTTGGTTTTTTCACTTTTTTCTTTTATGCTTTGTAAATTGGCGTCTGTTTGCAACGTGATCGTTCACCATGAGTAGATTCGATGATCTTTCATGATGACGATGACGATGGAAAATTGAGGATGGTTTGAATTTTGCTTTTTATCTGTGAATCATCTCTTGTATATGTACTTTAGAATAAGACATTTCTCATTTCTACTCCAATTTCATAATTTTTGATGCTTTTGTCTCCTTCTGTGTGAATTTTTTTAATCTTTTTACCTTTTGTTTTTTACTTAACTTTTCACTTTTATTCAAATTTCACAATTTTTGATAAGTCTGATTTCTGTGAAATGTTTTACCTGTTAATTTCTTTACCTTTCGTATTTCTCTTCACTTTTCCATTTCTTTTATTTGACTTTCTTTTACTTTTGTTCATTTTCGTCTGCTTATCGATGCTGTGATTAGTATTGCAAGCATAATTAGTAACATTTTTGATGTTGCCAATGATTATAAATTATTACGAAATGCTAGATACTATCTTACGTACTGATACATCTATACTAGTGTTATTTTTCTATTACAATTCTTCGGATAGTGCTGTATCGTTAATTAGCACTCTTGGTTCCAACCCATTCCTCGCTGAAAAATAATTCTTCATCTCTATAATTTTTCAAATTTAAATTCTTACCCTATTTTCCAAATCGATAAGCAAAACGAACGTTAAAGTTTGAAATGAAAGTCAGAATCTCTCAATATAAAACTACAAATCACAATGCAACGTTGACGACAAATTACATCTTTCCGAATACTAAATCTACAATCCACGATTTTCATTTCTCTTTCGAAACAAAGTTCTACTCTATTTGTCAAATCGGCAAATAAAAGTAACAATTGAATATTAATTGAAAATAACTGAAAATTTTCAAAATGAAACCACGAATCACAATGCAACGTTTACGAAAAGCTGCATCTTTCTAAATACTAAATCTACAACCCATGATGGTTTATTTGATGAAATCTTGAACGATCTTTCAATTTCCCGTATACTTTGTCCGACGCAAAAATTCCATCGCGGACACGTGTCCGCGGAACACACTGATACACTATCGCGAATATCTCTCCTCGTAACAATAGGAAGCCGAGGCAAGGAGACGCTAATAAATCTTTTGCTTTCTGACAGGGCTCGACTTCTTGGCAGACGGAGGTGCCGATTTCGAGCATGCAATCACCGTAACAGGTAAATCATCAAAACTCATTACTTCTATATTTGTACATACACATGTACTATCAATTAATAAAGAGATAATAAAACGATTTATCAATAACTGTTGAAAGCATTATCGTAACAAAACGAATCTATTTTGATCGACACGGGCGAAATGTCTTAAAATAAATTTATTTTTCACCGCTTCCTGTTGCAGAATATCGATTTTACGAGATTTGATCGAACGATGAATTTAAATTGGTAAATCAATTTTCAGGTGAATTAAATCGTGAAGTAGACACATCTGATTAGAGATCGTATTTTTTCAATAATATTTGCGTGGATTTTTCTCTTCGCGATCGTTTTTGTGAAAAGAAATATGACTGTAAAAATGTCTTAAATTTAATTGTCCCTTTTACAGATATTTCGTTAAATTTATTTTATCATTTTACGTTGTTTTTTTGTTTTTTTTTTTTGTTTTTTTGTTTTGTTTTACGATTTAAAAGTGGTATGTGACGTGTTTATTATTCTAGCGATAGGAGATGTGATTTTAAAGCACGAATCGTGTGAAATGGTATCAAGTTCAAGAGCATTGTTTAATTTGTAACGTCACGGTCCTTATCAGGAGCATATTAAAACTTCTCGCGGGTTTTCGGAAACGCTGATTCAGCGGACGGAATATTTTTTCCCCGTTAACCCAATTAATCAAGGCTGGAGTGACGAAAAATTTAAAAAATCATCAGAACGACGATTTTTAATTAGAAAATTAAGATTGTTTAAATTAAAAATAACACTATTTCGAATTGTCTAACAAACTGAAATTACAATCTACAGCAAGTGAATTAAATATCGTGAAATTTATCGAAGATACTTTAAAAGCATACATGAAAAAACGTGCACGATAAAAGACATAAATGAAAAAATTTTAATTGAAAAAAGAAATACTATCAACTTTACGACAAATTATATTTGATTTGCATGAATGATTCTTACAATATTGATCGACTAATTTTAGAAGATCCGTTACTCATTTTAATCTAGATAAACCGGCGTAATGTTAAAATTACGGGTTGTAAAGAAATTGTAAATTTTTTTTTAAGACAGCGAACGTAAACAATCGATGTTATCTCTTCTTCATAAAGACGAACAATCATTCGCAAAAAGCAAAAAAGAAATTTTCAACAGGCGATTTGTGTACTTCGGGTAGATTTGACGAAGACTTAGGTATATGAATCAAACGTCAAATAATCGGTTAAATACATTCGTTGTTTATTTAAACTTTGCATGCTCTCGAGAACGTGACTAAATGTTCCGTAAATCGTTCCACCTAATTAGGTTTCGGGAAATTTCACTACATGCTGCTGGCAGTATGCGGCTTAATTTACATGGACACAGCCATTGGAGTCACGATACTCTCGTTCGTGTTACCGGCAGCACAATGCGATTTGGAAATGGATTCAACATCGAAAGGCTGGCTAACAGCTTCCCCAATGTTAGGTGAGTTTCATGAGGATAAATGAAAAATCAATTTTTCCATCTCTAGGGAAATTACGAACAACTAAGGAATAAATTGAATGGAACAAAATATTATAAAGATAATAACTTTTTTATTGTTTATATACGAAGGCATATTATCTGTTTATATATTTTTATAATCAACTTTAACAAAATTTAAAAAGAAATCCAATTTTTAATAGGAAAACCATACCGTTGCTGTTCCTGATTTCCTAAATGTCGCGGGGTAATCAGGGACACTACTTATTTTTTTCCAAAGGTCGCCTAAATAGCCTCTAGATGTGCTCTGTCCGTCGCTGCACTTTTCGTGTGCCCATTCCCAACAATCGTAACACATAATCCAATCTTCAGTTGGAGGGTTCTCGTACTGTTCTTTACAATAAATACAGTAATGTTCATCTTCGTCGTTCTCAGCGTTAACTTTCTTTTTGTCTATTTTCCATTTATTTCTTGATATTTCTTCTTCTGTCTGTCTCTCTATTTTCTCTTCAAAATTTTTCAAATATTTCACTACTTTGCTTCCAGTCAGTCTTTTGGTTTCTCTTCATACTTCCTATCTTTTCTTCGGTTCTTTTCTACCATGACCACTTTCATGGGAGTGCTAGTTAAAATCGTTGAATGCCTTTTCTTGGCATTGTATTTAGCAGATTTTTTTAGGCAGAGTGGACAAGTTTATAATATCGGAGAGTGGAATCGAACGATCAAGTGAACAATCTGGTTGGTTCAACGAAGCTTGTATATCGATAGTGTCATTATTAGTGTGCTCAGTATGAGAATTGTTAGACAATTCTTCTTCAAATTGATCGCGGAACATAAACATCGTAACAAATAAAATCAAAATTGTTGACTATGACACTCTTTAGTTCGAAACACGGGTTAATGACGAACGTTCGAGATTGACCCACACAATTGGCTGGTCGTTACCCCATAAGGTGAAAAACGAAAACAACAGAGAGAATTTTAGGTTAGAAACATCAAATAGAACATATACTGGTTTTAAATTAACCCTCAATTTGTACTTTCTTGTGTTTTTAAACGTTAGTATTATTCAAAAAATTGGACAAAGATGAGCAAAAGTCTTCTGTCAACTGTTTTGTATTGGCGACCTAGCATTGCATTCGGTATGAGCGATCATATGGCAAAAGGAGGAATTTTTCATGCTTTTCTAACAGCATTATATATACGAATTCGCAATTACCCCTACTCTCCCCGTTAATTTATTCAACCTCCAAAGTTCTGAATTCTTCACTGTGCAACAAAAAAAACTTGTCAATTTTTGACAAATACCTACATACATTTCTTCGAAGTGGGGGAAAATATTATGTTTATTATTTAAATGATTACTTCCAATTTTTTCTGTTTCTACTCGAAGAAAGAAATTTGTCGAGGAGGCAATTTTCAATCTGTCTTTTTTTTCTTCAGGTGATCAATTCTTCCCTTTTGTTGAGAAAAAATGTTGTTTATATAGGGAATTTTTATTTCTTTCCTGTTCGCCTAGTGAAAAAAGCGTACGCTCATCTGACAGTCACATCATGGCTAGGCGCGTCTGACTTGTGCCACACTTTTCTACTTGAACTTTTATCGCACGTCGAAAACACGATGTTTAATTAACAAAAGCACGCGTACGCTACATCGAGATCAGTTTTATCAGAAAATTACTGCATTTCTTGGAACACAACAAATCTTGGAAAATAATTCGCAATAATAATTATCCGCGAATGAAAAAAAAAGATATATGAACTTTTTGCGACTTTCGCTAAAAAATAGAATTTTCCCTCATTGCACTCTCTCCTTTCATTATGAATCATAAAATCGTCCACAAATAAAGAACAAAGATAAATGAACTTTTCATGAATTTTATTAAGAAATAGAATTTTTCTTCATTTGTTCATAGGTATGGTGGTTGGATCTTACATATGGGGATGCCTGGCTGACACCAAGGGGAGGAAAGTGGTGTTAATTGCTACGTTATTAATGGATGGTGTCGTAGGCGTCATTTCCTCCTTCGTCCAGTATTTTTGGATATTCCTAGTATTCCGTTTCTTCAACGGATTCGCGTAAGTATCATAATTAAATATTCCTTTTCCGCGAAATTTCTCCTGCAAAAATTCCACCTTACTCTTCCCATAATTTCGACACTTTTCTTTTTCTTTCCGTTTTATTTCTACGTTTGTTTGTTTTTCATTTGATCACATACAGCGTTACGGGAGCTATGGGAATTTGTTTTCCGTATTTAGGGGAGTTCCAGCCGACAAAGTATCGTGAAAGATGCCTTTGTTGGATGGAAATGTTCTGGACCGTTGGAGTCATAGTATTACCATGTGAGTAACATTTTGATTATTCAACATTTATGAATTGTCAATTTAAGACGAATTACTAATTTCTACATAATAAAACAAAGATTATTAAGTAACTTGATTAACACTTCGAAACTGGTGATACAACACTACTATACGGGCATCGAAATCACCAGAACACGATATGTGCTTCCATTAAAAATATACTAAAACGACAATAATAATACAAAGTTAATATAGCATTATCAAAAAATCATGTATTCTATGTAATAAATAAATTACCTATATAACGATGAATTTAAAGATTTCTATGATTTAAAGGAATTCTATTCGAAGTGCTGATCGAACGATTGTCTTTTTACAACAGGTGTGGCGATAGAATGTGACGATTTGCGAAAAGCTATTGTGGGATACTCAGGTTAAATTAAAATGAAAGACTTTTATTTTTAAAAAGTTGTTTTAAATGTTCTTCTTTAGCAAAAGTGTTTCATTTATATTTATTTTTATTTGCAAAATCCATAAGTCTCTTATTTATAAAAATATTAGTGTTTTATAATGGTTCGTTGAAAGTTGTCACATTTTATTGTCATATCAGTTATAAAACAACTTTCGATGAATTAATTGATTTATCTTTCCGTTTATTCAGTGATCGCGTGGTTGATCATACCGATGGACTTTATGTACATCTCGGACGTGTTTTACTTCAAGTCGTGGAATCTCTTTGTAGCGCTGTGCGCTCTACCCTCGATAATGTTAGGCTTGTGGCTGTTCGCGTTCCCGGAGAGCCCGAAGTTTCTCCTCGAGTGCGGCGAAACGGACGCCGCCCTCGAAGTGTTCAAATGGATTTACTCGCAGAACACTGGCGAAAGCCCTGACTCTTACCCGGTAATTATTAAAAAAGAAATTCAATACTTTGCAACGCGCGAGTGAAATTATAATTATTTAACGATATTTTTTAGAAAATTAGAAAACCAAAAGTTCAATAATACTATTTTCAAAGAATACTACATATAATTATATACATACATAATAATTAAGTCTCAGTATTTGTTACATTTTTGAAAAAAAAATGGACAATTTTTAATGTTGAAAGTATCAATGCTCAATTTTAAGTTCAGTTTTATGTTCTTTCCAGGTGAAAACGTTGCAAGAGAAGACTAAAGATAAGAGCACGAGGTCGTTGAAGCTACACAAACGAAAAGACCTGAAGGTTCTCCTGAAGGAGGTACAAGACCTAACAACCGCTCTCTGCAAATCACCATACCACAAAAACACGCTACTTGCCTGTGCCATTCAATTTGGCCTCACTAGTAGCTACTACACCCTTATGGTCTGGTTCCCAGAATTGTTCACCAGGTATAACGTAATAATAAATTTGAATTTCTATTCGACACTGAAAAACATTTTTTACAACGATGAAGATTGAATACTAAACTTTGCCAGAAACAAAAGTTGTTCTTACTCCATATTATACACTTTCTGTAAAATTTCTGTGTCAATAGAATACAATTGAATATCGACATTTTTTTTTTTTTAAATGAAATTTAATTTGATAATCGTAGATTCGAGCAATTCGAACACGACAATCCTGGCCAGAGCACATCAGTGTGCATCGTGTCAGCCCAATCGGATAATGCGACGCTGGTCGACGCTTTTGGATGTGACACTGTGATCGCGCCTTCTGTTTATCTGCACACCGTGTATATAGGACTCGCCTGCATTCCTGGATCCATCATCCTACCACTTTTCGTGCACAAACTGGGCGCCAAATTCTTTTTAAGTATGTATACCATATTTGAAAAATATTTAATAAACATTAATATTATAAATGTGATAAAAATAACGTTGAGAAATATTCAGTATTTTATTTGATTATTATTACTTTAGCCAACCTTTGCTTCTTTTTTTCCTCAGTTTATTACATTTAGTCTTTTCTTTTCCTTCTGTTTTGCTTTCTTTCGCTCTAGCGTTTTCTATTATGTTTAATATAGTATATGTATTTTATGTACTATAATAGGTTCATACTCGTAAACAAATAAGTTATTACTCTATTTTACTCGTTGCTAATTAGAATGACAACGTTAATATTTCAGTCGTATCACTGTTGGTCTCCGGTGCAGTGACGGTTGCCTTCTATTACGTCGTCAATGCGACGCAGAATCTGATATTATCCTGCGTGTTCGAGGCTCTGACGTCCCTCGGTATCTCGTTGGTCTATTGCGTAATTGTCGACATGTTCCCGACGAATCTCAGGTAAGCAAACGACCATTCGTTCCCTCTTGATTTATTTATTAGGGAAACTGGCAAACACCACCAGCCAGGGAGATTTACAGTCGCCTCTGTTGCTAATTACCCAGTGACATCCGAGGACAAAACAACGACATAATTGTAAACGGCGCGTTTACACGATTCTTAATCGCGTGATCTCCGTTTACCCACTTGCATTGCTGCCTTATTGCACCGTTTGAAAATAATTGCGAAAAGTTTTTTCTTTCGTAAAAAATAGAAATCAACCAATTTTTCAGACTTAGAATTTTGACTTCAATGATAAAATCTTGAAGACGTTAAATGAAAAAAAAAACAAGGTGGCGATAAAAATCAATCATAGAAGATTTTAT